GGAGCGGATTATTTTTATACAACCTCACCCACAAAACACCATCAATTGGCAAAAGTAGAGTCTCAATAAATTCGTTACTTCGAAAAGTTTAGAGCCTTAGTGAATTGGAGGAAAGAAATCAAGACGTCTATATAATTGTTAAAACGGTATTTTTTTCTTAATTATTGGTTTTTAGACTAAATAATATTTGAAAGACATTAACAACCTTAATAGTAAATGTATACCCTACCCTGACATCTTTAATGCACTTCACTCAAGGTTCAAATTTTTGAACATTGGCACATTTTGTTGCGAGCTGTAGGATCAGTCTTAATTTTTTTACGCAAATAGGATGTCCTAATACAATTACATATTCCATTTTTTAAAACATGAACATTCACCTATATCAAAATACCTGATAACGTTGAAAAAAAATCTGTCTTTATTCCGTTTCCATACTTAAAAAAAATGCTTTGCTTTGAAAATTAATATTTTTTGTCATAATGTAGTCTATCAGAAAATCATTATATAATATTATTAAAATTATTAATTATTATTAAAATCAACATTACTTGATTTAAAAAAAAAAAGAAAAAAAGAAATCTCTATAGTTACAACCCATGAAGGGGGTTCAGTACTTTGTAAGGAAGAACTGCTTTTTGGTGCTTATAGGCCGGCTCAGGCTCAACCAACTTATTTTTCCCGTTGATTAATTTAAAGTAAATTTGATTAATTTTAAAGTAATTATTTAGTATTTGGATTAAACTATCAAATTTCTTGTTTTGTTAAAATGCCTTCCCAATTTATGATGAAAATATTTATTAAAGTTTGTGCTCGTGAATTATTTATTTATCACAATTGGGTATAAATTTGAATGCCTCGTCTAGTTTTTTAACAGCAAATCACACCACTTTTTATTTTTAATGTTTCAGTTAAGAAAAATAAAGTGTTGAAATAAAAAAAAAGTATATTTTAAATGTATATTTAAACAATAAATGTAGCTCATTAAGGGGTGATTTATTAATGACTAATCTTGTACCAGAGCACACCTAAATAGAAAGTACCGACTTTCTATGCTACTTTTGCTGCATAAAAAAAAAGTTTGAATTTGATAATTTCTACATTTGCCGAGAAAGAGATTCTACTTGGGTTAATTAAAAAAAAACAACCCAAAACTAAAGGTATAAATACATTTCTCCCCGCAAAATCAATACTTGGAATAACACTTTTTTTGAAATCACCTCCGAATTAATGAATTCAAAAGTAACAATAAAAGTATTATATTATAGACTGAATTGGCATATCTGACTCGATATTTAAAATTTACTAGAAATTTTGACAAAAAAATTAATGAAAAAAAACAGTAAGATCTAAGACGTACAAACTTCGTTGTACGATCAAGTCAGCAAAGCAACTGGAAAAAGGTTACAATATTCTCAAAATAATAATAATAAAAGAGATAATCAGGAATATAATAAAAGGAACCACGATGGAGAGAATGAAATCATTAGATATACAAGCAGTGTTAAATTTGGCTCCAGTTAAAGAATTTCTCACTAAACGTAAAATATCATTTTTCGAAAAGTCTCAATAGTTGTAAACCCTCTTTTCAACAGCTTATTACCAGCCAACATTTCAAAACGTTGGCAACATCTTCCATAGGATAAGTTTTTAAATTTAGTTGTAAGCTCTAAAGAATAAGGTCAACTCAAGCCTGAGGTGAGCCCCATCACAGAACAAGTTTCAGATTTAGAAAACGTACATAGAAACGATAAAAATGAACCTTCAATGCTTTTTATCAGTAAAAGGGTTATTAAGAGGACAACAAAAATCCAAGGATTCAAGGCAAAGATATTTGAAAAGGGGCTATGGACAAAAAATTAATAGTTATTGAGAAACATGTAAGATTTTTTTTTCCCCCACAGTAAATCTGTAAGACAACCAAATTATTAATTAACAATGCAGAAAATCAAATTAGTATGCAATTTATTTGATTTTCTCTCTGTTAAAAGGTTGATAACTAATGACTATTTCAGTATGTTGTAGAGTTTGTGTTATGCTGTAATTTACCGTCTTACATCACTTATCGGACTGACCATCCTTCGAATAGAGCTAAGGGAGGTACTCTCATTCTCGTTTAGAACTCAATCAGTCATCATTTCAATGCTTCTGAGGCCTGTGAGAGTTATCAATGCACTTCAATAGTGGTTAATATATTTCATTTTAATCTTACTATAGCAGCTATATATTGCCCTCCCGGCAAGAATTTATCAATCCAAACATTTGACCAGTTGTTACATTCTTTGGGTAACAAATTTTTGTGTGGCGGTAATTACAACGCTAAGAATCAGTAACTCAAGGGGCAGAGCCCTTCAAAATGCGATTCTTGCTCAGAATCGTAAATGCTTATCCCCCTCTTCACCCGGATTTTTTCATTGCCAAGGGAATAAACGTACAGCATTGTGCCATTACTAATCTGACTGACCTATCTTCAGATCACTCCCCTCTTCTTCTAATGGTAGACTCAAAACCTATAACCAAATCTCCCAGACCGTCGCTAACACCTGGAAAAATTGACTGGAACAAGTTCAGATCATCTATTGAAAATTCATTATCACTGAACACTAATATAAGAACACCTGAAGACTTGGACGACGCAGTTCATCACCTCACGCAAACAATACAAAATTCAACATGGACTTCTGACATCTCAAGCAAAAAGACAGACAAACATGACCATAATTACATTTCACCTGAGATAACATATCTTATCGTACAAAAACGAAAAGCTCGTAAAATATGGCAAAGAACTCGTTACCCATCTGACAAACACAAATTCAACAAACTAACTCGACAACTTCACGATGAAATAAGACGTTCAAAGACAGAAAATTTTGACAAATTCTTGAATGGTTTAGCAAATTGTGAGAAACCACTTTGGAATATAACCAAACGGATTCTACAGCATCATGACGTCTCACATCCTCTCAGACATGATGATGGTTACTCGGCAAAGTCAGATGCTCAAAAAGCGCAATTGTTTGTTGCTCGCCACCTCGAAGAAACATTTAAACATCATAATGACATAAATGACATATTCTCTACTACAATTGTCCAAAGTCACCTTAACGTACCCTTGCCTATGATATTACCACCAAAATCAATTTATCCGTACGAAATTCAAAATTTAATTCAGAGCTTGCCTGTGAACAAGGCTTCGGGATTTGACTTAATTACGAATTTCGTCATAAAAAATTTACCTTGGAAAGCTATTCTTTTTCTAACAAATATTTACAATTCTATTTTGAGAATCACACATTTCCCCACTCTCTGGAAATGTTCTGCAGTTGTCATGGTCTTAAAACCTAATAAATCTTCAGACTCCCCAAATTCCTATCCGATTAGTCCGATTAGTAGATAAAATCCGTCCGATTAGTCTTCTTCTTTCTTTTTCTAAATTGTTTGAAAAAATTATTCTTCGTCGCCTTGATTCTCTCGATATATTTCAATTTATTCCAAATCATCAATTCGGCTTCAGAAAGCATTATTCAACTGTTCAACAATGCCATCGATTGGTAGATTATATTTCTAATTCTTTAGAATCTAAAAATTATTGCCCTGGAGTTTTTCTTGACATTAGTCAAGCCTTTGATAAAGTTTGGCATGAAGGATTGCTCTCCAAACTTAAAATTTTACTTCCTCCAACCTACTATCTAATATTACTTTCATATCTAACGGATAAACACTTTTTAGTAAAAGTAGGGACAGAACGTTCTGACATCAAACCTATTAAAGCAGAAGTGCCTCAGGGTAGTGTCCTTGGACCAACATTGTTTAATATATATATGTCTGACCTACCGGAACACAACGACACAATACTGGCTACTTTAGCAGACGATACCGCAGTACTAAGCTCAGATAAAAACCCTGTTCGAGCATCTACCATCCTTCAAAATCATCTGAACGATATTGCAGACTGGGCAACAAGCGGAAAATTAAGATGAATGAAAAAAAAAAAAGTGCATGTGGTATTCACTCTTAACCATAAACCTTCCCCTGAAATATATTTTAATAACATTCAAATCCGAAGATCATATGTAATTAGGTATTTAGGTTTTTACCTGGTCAAAAGACTTACTTGGAAGACTCACATCAGACAAAAACGAATAGAATTAAACAGACGATACGGTCTCTTATCCAGATTACTTGACAGACGTTCAAAATTATCTTTAACTAAAAAACTAACCCTTTATAAAGTCTTACTTAAACCCATTTGGACTTACGGCATAGAACTGTGGGGCTCTGCTAAAACTTCCAACATTAAAAAAGTTCAGTCCTTTCAGTCAAAAGTGTTGCGAAGGATAGTTGACGCACCTTTTAATGTCGCAAATGACACACTACATAAAGACTTAAACGTACCTACAATTTTAGATACTGCAAAAGAGAACTACAATAACTTTCACCAAAGACTGACGTACAACATGAATCCTCTGACAGAAATCCTTCATCGTACAAGAAACCCGTACAGCCCACCACGACGATTACGTAGGCGTTGGCCAAGAGACCTGCTGATCTGAATTATATCCCGGACGTGATAGGAAGCTGTGAAGCTGCTAAAAAATTTGCTTATTGCAAAGAAATTTGCAGATTGCAAATTTAATCTAATGTTCCACATTTCTGTTTGGTTAATAAATAAATAAACGTTAGAAATGGTTCTTTGATTTTTTAACTTAGTTACTTACAATTAAAAATTATAATTATTAAATCATTGTGGCATTACTTTGATATTCCTATAGTTAAGATAAAAGTAAAATGTTCTATAGTTCCGTCATTTGAATTTCATCCAGAGGAAAATAACTCGAAAAACAGCTTTCGGGAAAGAATAATTTTATGATTTAAAGCTTCCAGGGGCGGACTACAAATTGCCCCATCACCCCCGTTATCATGACATATACTGTGTGCAGGGCCATTTGATAACAAACGATATTTCGCCACCATTTGTAAATTATAGAGGAAATAGATTAAAGCTTGCTCCGTACATATCCCATTAATTTCCTATCACAGCCTGTCCCCTGTTTTAGGAAAGTTTGGGGATTAGAACATTGTTTATTTATAAAAGTAGTTTTAAAATTTGTATTTTATGTATATTTTAATTAGTAATGAAACGTTCGTTTTTTATGTAATATTTATTTATTGTCTAGCGATTCGTTTCCGGCCTGGGGGAGGGGCTTGAAATTTATTCCTCGGCGGATTCTGCGGAATGTATCTAGACTTTCCTGCTCTGGGATGTATAGGTTGGTATATTTTTTCTCTCTTATTTTTCGATTACCTTATATTTCATTATATTAATTTTAACCCACCTTTACCATGTTCGAATCGGCGCCGCTAAACTCGAGAATGTTGAAGCAGGAAATTTTCTAAGACGCTTGGCCATCACAGTCCCAAGATTTTTTGAATAACTCCTTTACCCTCCTATCAGCTAGAAATAACTAGGTAGAATTGTAGAATTGCTGATATCGAAAAATTGGGTATAAATATCCTTTTAATCTTAAGAAGAAAATATAACCAAAGTATAATCTGGCTCGAAACTTCTTTATTTAGGACTATGAATCTTTTAAATGTACATATGAAATTGTATAAAACCTTGGTTGTGTTGAGATTATTGTTCAATATGGAATGAACCAGGATTGATCCATGTCATAGTGATTTTGACAAATAAAATAAGTAACAATGAGTATACAAAAACTTGATGACTTTTAACATACATAAAAATCCGTCAAAATAGTAAATGTATTAACCTTGTTTTGAAGTAGCCGCTGACTCCTACGAGCGGAAGCGCGGCCATCAGTATGGCGTAGAGCCAGCCTGCAGCCATGATCTTCATGGCAGTGGATAACTTGAGCCTCTTGTTCATATGGATGGCATAGGTGATGGTGTACCATCGTTCGCAGGTTATCACAGTCAGGGTTAGAATGGACAGTTCGCTGGAGAATACAGTGAGGAAACCTGCGATTCTACAACCATTTCCTGCAGACAGACACAAGCAAATTTTTAAAGATTTTCAATTTGCATCTAATTGTTACACTTTTATAGGAATATATGGTAAAAAGTTATTAATGGATGAATTATCTTATCCCTGATATACAGTAATAACATTAAGAATAAAACTCTATTTCACAGATCTAGCCAAGCACTTCCAGACAAAGTGTATCAATTTACCGATTACCGAAATCAATTTATCGACTGACCTTGATTCAAATTGTAATATAACCATTATAAAAAGAATACTCCTTGACTGGAGGTACATACGTTAAGAAAAGGTTTTTACAGAAATTTTCCCATTTTGACTTCATATCCGTAATACTTTGTCATGAAAATAAATTTTTTTTTTTCCAGGCCCTTTTTTATTTATCTTTGTCTTGAATTTTAGTTGTCTTCTTAATAGTTCTTTTACTGCTAAAAAATATTTTTTTTTGTCGTTTTTGAGTATTATTTCTATATCTGTACTATAATCGGTGATGGGGCTCACTTAAGGCAAAGAGCTTAAACTCGTTTGGAAAAGAGAGTAGAAATTCCTGTCTTAAATAAAAATGAAATTTTAAACACAGAAAATGGTTAAATGAGTGCTGATAGTCTAAGTAACAGTAATAATCATTCCGCGAACAGTTCTCAAGTGCCTATTCCTAGACCCCTATCCATAGTTATTAGGAGCGATTACTCGCCTAACGAAATAATTCAAGAGTTTAGGAAAAATTCTATAAATAATATATACTTAAGACCTTGTTCTGATGGTCTCAGGATTTATACGGAAAACCTATCGGATCATACGAAAATCGTAACATTGTTTAAAAATAGAAATTTTGCTGTTCACACAAAAGTGTGAACAGCAAAAGCTCGATAAGGAAGCGATCGCAGTACCAAAAAATATTTACTACTGAACATTGTTATGACAGAGAACATGCAAAGTATCCAGGATGCTTTTAGGGAAGTGAGTGCCATTTTGGATATACAACGGTTCAAAATATCAAGTTAATTTGATTACTAGTTCTATGTCTATGAATGCGAAGAACCACCTTTTGCACCACTGAGTGTCGTTAACATTGCTAATATCCATATCAATAGACATTTTTTCAATAGGTCCTTCTGATATTGTGTTAAAATGGCCCGAAAAGGATTTTAGTTGAGACATGATAGGTGACTGAATAACTTTAAGGCAGCCACAGTTACTCCATGATCAATTATTTTATAATTTCACAGTATAGGTAGCATAGAATATCCATTGATAAGCATAGTTGTGATACAACAAATTTATCCAAGGATTATTTAAGTTCTTTTTGATTTTCGATTCGAACGTGGGTATTAATTTAAAATATTTGAAGTTATTTTACAAATAAATTGAATTAAATGAAAAAATACGGGAAGGATTATTTTAAATTGTTACTAAATTTTATTGATAAGTATAAAGGAGCAACAGGAATAAACATACGGAATTTATTTACAAAAAATGAAAACACTGAAAGAGGACACCATGGTAAAAACAATGAATAAACTTATTTATGGAGGGGGAAGTGATAGAGAGCGACTAAGGAAATTGTGTCAAATTACAGGAGGGAATGATGTTTCACGAAACATATTTTAAAGCAAGAGAATAATTATATTATAAAAGACGAAACTTTTTATCATTCAAAAGTTCCATTGGCGGGAAGTTAAGTATCTGGAAACTTCAAAGTTATTTTTACACTTCAGATAACATTCATGTTAACTTATTTATCTCTTCGTTTATTTGAGTAGCTTTTGAATGCTGTTATTGACTTAAATATAAATTTTTACTTTTTGTAAATATAGCCGAGCATTTAAGAGATTTACTTTTTTCATCCAGAAATATATTTTACTCTTCATGGGCGTCGTTCTGTCTCAGTTATTAGGCAAATATACAGGCAACTTTTTTTACGGAATATTTATTCACAACGAACGATTTTAATGATAATAGTAATAGAAAATAACTTTATTCTGGGACAAAGTCCCTTTAGAATAACAAAATTGAAAATAATTAATATACTACATCTGGCCAAAATAAAAAGATAATAAAAAAGAAAAAGTAAAGAAAATATTAGTTAAACAAGCCATATACAAAAAAAAATCTATATACAAAACACTTAAAACTATGATAAAACACTTAAGACTATGTACAGTAGGAAAAATTATAATTATACTCTTTTGAAACATAAAATTATAAAAAATACGTTGAGTTTTTCTTTAAAATGAGGTGTGTTTCTACTAACAAAGAAAAGACAAAGTTGACAATATAAAATGTCAGTGTATTTAAATAATGAATAATATGTAGACTCATCATTGGCAAATGCTACAGGTACAAATTTAATTATATACGAATAAAAAAAACTAAAAAAAACAAACAATAGATACGGTCAGTGGCATTAAGAGCAGGAAGATATTGTAATATCCCTAGTGAAGTTCACAGTATAGAATAGTACTATCGTTTGATGATGACTAGAAATGTATAATATCAAATTTGTAATGTATGTACCGTAATGTATGTGAATGTAATGTAAATGTAATGTAAAATGTATAATAAAAATTTTTACGGTATTTCGATTGGATTCCATAAAGGACAGTAGAAAACCACTGAGCTAAAATTCTGAAATCAATTCTACTTATAATACTTTATACTGAGAATTCGGTTTGGTGATGGGGAATATAATTTTACTGTTTGGGTGTTAATTTTCTTTTAGAATTGGATATCTGATGAAATGTCGAGCAACTCGAGTGGTTATGTGGCGCTTTCCGCATGCTCTGTTTGAAGTACCTTTGTGTTGACGGATTAGCTCTAAAAAAAAGAAAAAAGCGAGCCAATCACATCACTTTTACAACCTCGTGCTGACCATGATTTGGGTACTATGTTAACACAGCTTAACAGAAATTGATCTCAGAAAATGAAATATAATGTCACTGCAATAATGCTTTTTTATTTTCATATGTTAGTTAATGCAAATTCACCACTTTGTTGTAGAAGAATGGGACCATTACAAAAATTCGATGGGAGACCCGTCTCACCGTCCCATCAATATCAACAGCCATGCTATTTTATTATCAATAGTAGAAGTTTTATCCTCTTTCGTTTATGAAGTTTATTTTGTGAGTTTTAAGTTTTCATCTTCAATACCCGTGAAAAGAATGTTTTAATACTATGAGCGTGTTATTTTCACGATGAAAAGGTGCTTAATAAGAACTTAGTCTATCGGCTATTCCTAGAACTGTCTTCATTTCATTCAAAATCTATTTTCATTCCATTCTGTAAGAGCGGTTGAACTGGAAAAGCTGTAATATTTTTTATTTAGCTGTGATTTACAGATGAATGAACTTGATTCCCGTCAAGGCGGTATAATAAGGAAAGGGTAACCAAATAATTTACACCCCAAGAAAAATGTAATATGATAAAATAGATAATTAAAATTCAATTTATTAAAAAATATAATTAGGAGTAAATTGTAGGATGTGACTTACTCTTATTAAAAATCATTATACAAACGTTGATTTATATATCTTATGTGGCATTACGAATACTCTTAAAGAGCTATGTTCTTTATAAATGAACTATACTTATATTTCGATGTTTACATATAGTCTGTGGGCTAGACACCATACCGTGCAACCTCAACCCACATCCCTAAATATTGCATATCCTTGCAAATATTTATTTTAAAAACAAAACAATTTTCCCATAAAAAAAGTGAATACACTGCCCAAAAATGGTGTCCAAACATAGCGCACTGACGACTTTGACTTGAATTAGGTTTTTTGTCACTGAGAATCAGCATTTAGCTTAATTTCGTCATAATTGGTTTTTTATTAAAGCTGAATAGTCAGATAATAACAAACCATGGAAAACTATTAGAAAATAAATGGCTCAGACAATAAAAAACACCAGTAAAGCCCATTTTTTAGTTTATGAAATAGATATTAAAAAAAAGTGTTTGGTGTTTTATATAAAAATTTCAAGATATTCAGAGGAGTATTTTTGAATTAAGTTTTTTTATTGCAATTATATCATTTTTGCAAATATAAAATACAAATTTTTTATTAATTTGTTTTTGAACAATTATTGTATAAATATTTTATAATATTAATAATAATAATATTAATTCATTTAAAATAATGTACAAATAGCGTTATTATAGCTCTATACCATTTATTGTATGCTATACTGTACTGCTTTTTCGCCGATAAAGGGTATTTTCTACGGAACTGCTTCAAATATTTTCAAAATTAATCAGATTTTTAGAAAGAAAAATATATTATCCAGATATTTTATTCGTATGCGTTTTTCATTATGTTGGCCGTTGAATTACAAACAACGCATGATTTTCAACTTGAAAAAAATTTACTTTACTGGTGCTCATTATTGCCTAAGCAAATTATTTTTCGTGGTTTTCATGTTTTGTTATTATCTGATTATCCCGCTATAATAAAAGGTCAATTATGACAAAATTAAGCTAAACGCTGATTCTCAGTGACCAAAAAACTAACTCAAATCAAAGTCCTCAGTCCGCCATTTTTTGTAGGGATATTATTTTTTTTTTTAATAAATACTTACAAGGAACACAGCGATTTGCAATTTATTGGGATGTGTGAGGAGGGGTGCACGGTAAGAGGGTCTGGCCCACCGTGTAATATAGTAACCTCTTGACTTACTTCCTTAATGTAATTCATTATTTTACAATGTAAATAAAAAACTTTGTTTCATTCAGCTCTAGTTTAAAAATTTCAAAAATCTATTTTAGTTTTTACGAGTGTTTTTGGTTTATAGATATCGTGAAATGTAAAACTTAAAATTTTGAGGGGGTTAACTATTTTTTCGTTGGATCGTTTTATCATTATTGAAATAATAAACCAAAAATAAGTTCAAAATGCTAATCTGTACTAATACTCTTCCGAATTCTATATAGTTTTTTCTCTTTTATGGAATTTAATCACTTTGGCAATAATTGATAAGTAAAATCACCAAATGT